TGTACTAACTTCGAACAATATTGTGCTTTACATTTACCATCTTGCTGTCGTTAGTAGTATTTAAGGTGCTTCTTCTGGCTGATGGGCTACAAGCTCTGCTTGCTGTAAAAACTATTACTCGTTGAAGTTGTATCTGACTCTGGTGCCTGAGAAAATTATCCTCATTTCAGTTTGCTTGCTGTCGTTGCTGTAGAGGATGAAATTTTGTCAGATTTGGACTGACTGAGACGACAATAAACAAAATCTACTTATTATGAAACTGTTCAGGTCAAATTGACTCTCACCGAGCCATATCAAATTTGCTGTCAATTATTGCAGTGCCTTGATGGTTCTGACTTGATCTGCTGATCAAGTTTGATTAAATCTTATTTTTCTGGCGTGGGTTTTTAAAAAGTGCTTAGCCAATACAAGAACCTAAGAAACCTTAGTTGATGTTCACGAGCTACTTGAAGCAGATGCGTAGTTAACATTTGTTGGCTTGAGAGTAGTCTGAGGATAGAAATCGTGGAGATTTCGGTGAACACTTCAACATTTTAGAGTCATCTGCATTTTTAATTCATATTAGCTATGCAGATTTTAACAATAATATCGCGTTTTGGGTTGCCTTCATTATTTGTGTTAAATGAAATCTGACTTCTTCTAATCAGTTGGAAGCATTCAAGAGGCACCTGATGCAGTCACTGAAAGAAGATGATTCATCTATCACTGTAAATGAACTCCATCTGTATATATTTCTACTATGATGACTTTTATTGTGGCCTATGTCTAATATCTTCTTCCATTGTTCTCCTTCTAGCAGAAATCAGAGACTGTGGACATTGGAACCGATGACCAGGCTATTTCCAAAGCCTCTGACCGGAGAGGTTGTTTTCTCTCTTTAGAGCACTATTTACTAATTTTAACAGCTTTGCTTTGGGAAAATAATTTGCTTTCTAACTCAATTATATGGTAAAACTATAATTCCTACCTGTGATCAATACTCAAAGATGATGGGTCGGTCGGCTATACGAAATCTAATCCTGTTGCCGCTGTGAAAAATATTGGGGATACTTGCCAGGAAGGTAATCTTGCAACTATTTTTCTTTTGTTTAATTTTTAATTTTCCCTCCGGAATCAATTTATGATGGATAAATTTATTATAGGATCAAGAAATGTGCCACAAAAGTATACAATGGTTCCATATATCAGTCCAAGGCTTACTCCTAACGCCACACCAAAAGTTGCTTCTACTGTGAGCTCCCCAAAAAGATTCTCTGCTGCTGTATCTCCCAAAATGGCATCAGGTGCCACTTCCCCGACAAAGCGCATGGAAGGGCAGGTTCCTTATTCACCGTGGTACCCATCTAGCCAGCTGTCCTCGGCAACAAGCTCCCCACCTCGTGGTCGCCCATTATCAGGTAACATCCTAATTAAGTTCATCGACTCCCTCAGGATTCTGCGACGGGTAGACCCGTTACCTTTTGAGTACTTGACACAAAAGGAAGTGTTGTTCTGTTATAAATTTCCTTACCTTTGAGGACCTGTGGACAACTATCACTCTCAGAACGACTCCATTTTGAAGTGGGCAACATGATTCCTATCAAGATTGGTTATCTGAAAAATTTTACCGGACAAAATACTTGCAAATATCATTTACGTTTATTTATATGAATAGGTTGTTTTATTATCTCTTAAAGTCTTTCTTGGTAACTCTGTGTTGGTGACTTTGACTTTTAAGGGCGACCCCCAAGAATAGATGGAAAGGAGTTCTTCCGTCAAACAAGGTTGGTAGAAATATGTTAGTTCATGATACAATCTTCTTAACAAGAAGTGAACTAGACTTATTTGTTTCCTGGGTAACAGGAGTCGCCTCTCATACGAACAGTTTGGAGCTTTTCTGGCCAACATTAAAGAACTCAATGCTCACAGACAGTCCCGGGAGGTGTGCTTTCAGAAGTTGCCAAGTTTTTGAGGATTATTTGATCAAATGCTTGTATACTCCTATTTCTATTACATTTAATGCATATATTCTACTGTACACTTCCATAAAGTAGCTCCGTAATCATCTTCCATCACCTGTAGACATAGGATATTTTTTTACTTCATTGTTGGATCAACACATGATTGCATAAGTGATTTCAATTAACTTTCATCAATGAATGCAGGACACTCTGAAGAAGGCAGAAGAGATATTTGGTACCGAAAACAAGGATCTGTACTTATCTTTCCAAGGATTGCTGAATCGGAACGTCTCTTAGTGAATTTCTGAGGATGGATCCTGTGATGGTACGCTCTCTCTCTCTCTCGCTATTTGTGCATATCAGAGGCATGAAAGCCCGTTCTAACAGGTATCAGATGTTTCATATCCAAACCGACCTCTTCAATCAGTATACCATGGGTTTTGCTCGAAGAGCCCATTTTTAGCAGGGCAAACGATGGGTTTGCCTTCCCCGTGGGAGCAGGAAATATTGCAATGTGGTGCTGGTCTCTTCTTCTCATGAAGCTGATGGGTTCCTGCAGATGGTTTCCTGCAGAAAAAAACGAAGTAACTCCATTTAGTTGAATGTGGCTGAGAACTGAGAGAGCCAGCGGCTGACTATGTTGGGGATGATGAATTTAAAAGTCTTTCATGACGTGCTTCTTCTTCTTCTTCTTCTACTGTTCTAAACCAGGGCTCTCTTGCTGTTGCAATCTGATGCCTAGGGGATACATGAATATATTTCTGTTTATTAAAGTTTCACCATGTTTCTGAGTAGATTACGCAATGAGATTCTTACTGGCGATTGATGGGCTCAGAAGGTGATTGGATTCCTGCATCTTGATTGGTGGGTTTGATCTTGTTGCAGTCTGATGCCTTGGGGATACATGAATATATTTCTGTTTATTAAAGTTTCACAATGCTTCTGAGAAGATTATGCAATGAGCTTCTTACTGACGATTGATGGGCTCAGAAGGTGGTTGGATCCCTGCATCTTGATTGGTGGGTTTGATCTTGTTGCAATGTGATGTCTAGGGGATACATGAATATATTTCTGTTTATTAAAGTTTCACCATGGTTCTGAGTAGATTATGCAATGAGCATCTTATTGACGATTGGTGGGTTTGACCTTGTTTAAATGATATTATTTGCTGGTTGAATTTCTGGAAAATGCTTGAAATCCCATAACATGATGCCTAAATGATATTAGGGCTACTCACTCCCTGCAGACCCTTTAGACCCCTAGACGCCTAGGAGTTCATGGATCAGGGAGGGAGATTTGTTTGCATGTATTTAGAAAAATGATGATTCTGATGTTTCCATTCTTTTTTCAACGACATCATCACTTGAGATGGTAGAATAATTAGCTCAAAATTTATTAAATATGTAGTCAAATTTAAGTAAATCAATAAAACAATATTTCTTACCTTTTGACTACGTTTTACAACGTTTTAACAGAAAGTCAATGAATAAGTCAACGATATTTTAATGATATGAGTTCTACCTTCCCTATTGGATTACACTAAAACGATTCTGACCCTTATGTCTATTAATTCAACTCATACTCGTAAGAAAATTATTCTAATTTTTGGCGAGAGCTTTAGGGTCATAATTAACATGGAAAGTGACAAGATTTTATTTTAGTAGGGGCATGATTAGGCCATATGCATAATTAAACTTCTAAGCGTGTTAATTCACAAATGTTGGACTTCGGCAGTACTGGGGAACGAAATCCTCTTGCTTCCATCTTTGGAAACCTTAAAACACGGGGGCATTTTGGGGAGAAGACAGCCAAAAAGTCTTCCCTCCCTATCGAAACCCCTGGAAACAAGAGCATCATCTTGATAAAGATACTTCCGACATTGAAAGATCATCTGGGTCTTCTTTAAAAAGATGTGAAACTCACCCTAGAAACCTTTATTCTTCTTCTCTCTTCTTCCTCTCTCTTCTCTTCTTCTTCTCTCTTCTTCTTCCTCTCTCCTCTCTTCTTCTTCTTCTTATCTGGTTTCCCCATCCAGATCTAAGAAGCTGTTTGGGCTGGGGCGAGAGAGGAACTCCCTCCTGTTCTAGCCAGGGTCGTCCACTTCGTCACCCCCCCTTTCTCTCTCTACAATCTTCTTCCTGGCCCTCTCTTCATCTGACCAATGAAATCCGATGGCAGCTTGTGTATCTCTGCATGCTCCTCTCTTCCATTAACCAGATGGTTATTCCGAAAACACCCATATTCCCAGAATGCCCCCCTTCCTAGATGTGGAAGGACACGGTGAGTGAAACTATCCTCATGCAAACAAATATCGATAGTTTGAGGCAGCCAAAGATGATGAAGGCATATAGTTTAATGGCTCCATAAGATATATAGTTTGAAGGTAAGGTAAGATCTAGATGGCCCAAACATTGTCATGTGAATTGAACAGAAGCCATAATCTCTTGCACCGTGTCATATCACGTCATATTCATGCAAATATCAATAGCTGATGCCTACAAAGATAGTAGAGAGAGAAGACTTTCGGTGGGGAGAGAAAGAGCCCGTCCAGAATGCCCTCGCTCTGTATTCTGGTGGAGTCGGTACTGGGTCAAAACCCCGGTAGTGAAATTCGTCGAGATCTTGCTCCAGTAATATCGGAGGTCACTGTTTACAAAGATGATAGAGATGGCGGGGTTTTGGTGGGCAGATTGATCCTTGCTCGTCACCTAGCTATCGTGTGCCCAGAGGGGCTCGTCCATGGCGAGAGCCTGGTCCATCACCGCGTCGCCGGAGAAGATGGGCTTCGAACCCGGCGAGGTGGTGGCGCCGACGCCTCCGCCGCCGCCGCCGCTGGTGCTTCCGACTGTTTCTCCGGTGGCGGCGAGGAAGATCTTGTGCCAGAGGCGTAACCGGACCATCTCCGCCTGTGCAATGGCGAGCTGTGCCTGGAGCACCTCCACCTGATGTTGCAGAGTGGAGATGGCGGCGACGCAGCCATAAACGGGGTCTCGGAGCCTCGCGTTCGCTTCGTACACCATGCTGCTCACGGCGTCGCTCCGGTGGTGCTCCGCAAGCTCCTGTGTTTTGCTCAATCAAGATCAATCTGGGAACTAACCAGTTTCTTATTCGGAGTTTTTCTCAATCGATGGGGTTTTCTGAGAACAAAATTCTGGTCGGAAAGCGACTACGGGGGGTTTGGGATGGAGTTCACGAAGAGCATCCGCACATTCCGGGTAAAGTTGCACCGCTTCTGTGAAAGAATTACCACTTCTCTCTGTCTGTCTGTCTCTCTCTCTCTCTCTCTCTCTCTCTCTCTCTCTCTCTCTCTCTCTACCATCTCTCCTCTCTCTCTCTTTCTCCTTTGCATAGATGCCTTGTACGGTTTTGGCAAGAGAGAGCTTGTTTTCGTTTAGCACTGAACCATCGTCTTCGTCTGGTGACAGATCTTCTTCCTGTTTCGACATGGCAGACCCCGGCACCTAATGGGCGCTTTCTGTTTGCTTAGGGAGGAAGAGAGTGGGATGGGGAGAGTCGTAATATGCAGATAGATAGATAGATAGATAGAGAGCGAGAGAGCGAGAGAGAGAGAGAGAGAGAGAGAGAGAGAGAGAGAGAAGAGAGGAAGAGCGTAGGATATGCAGATAGAAAGACAGATAGATAAAGAAGGAGAAATAGAGAGGGAGAGCGTAAGATATGCAGAGAGATAGGTAGAAATAGATAAACAGATAGAGATAGAGATAGAGAGAGGAAGAGGAAGCAGAGGTACCTGCAGCATCTTGCTGACGTTGCTAGCGCCGAAGACCTTGTGGACGTTGGCGAACTTTTGCGGCTCCTCAGCGGGGAAGTATGGCGCGAAGATGCAGTCATAAGCACAGCGCCGCCGCAGAAGCTTGCACGCTGCGCACGGCGGCGTCGAAGCCGGCTTCTTACCGCTGACCTCCTTCATCCTCTCCTTCATCGTCTCTACTTCTTCCCACACTCTCTCTTCTCCTTCTACAAATTCCTACAGTGAGAGAGACACGCGGAGAGAGAGAGAGAGAGAGAGAGAGAGAGAGAGAGAGAGAGAGCGGGGGATGTCGGAGTGACTTTTGAAGCTCCTCGTCAACAACTGGCGTCGCCCGCCGCCGGGGTTTCTCTGGCACTAAACGCGACTGCAGTAGCCGCAGCCAGAGTTTTTTATAGCCAAGAGACTGGTTCCCCCAGAGCGAGGAAGAAGAAGGTTGACGAAGATATAACAGATCAGATGATCATATAGCTTTGGGAGAGAGAGAGAGAGAGATAAATACATATATATATATATATATATACGTATTTCTGTTCTTTCTTTCACGAGGAGGGTATATCGAATGTGGGACTGCGCGGGGACGAGGGTCCACGGATTTGCTAGGCAAGAACATCTACTTTGACAAGACCCCCCCCTCTCTCTCTCTCTCTCTCTCTCACTCACTCACTCTCGCCATCTACCCGTCAGGCTTCTTGCCTTTTCCTTAGAGGGCATGCAATGTTCCCAGTGCCATCATTTAATGGCTCCCATCTCTCTACTGCCAAAGAGGTGTTCGTACCTTCACACCTAGGCGAGATCTGGAGACCACCGGCCGCTTCTCCTCTCTCTCTCTCTCTCTCTCTCTCTCTCTCTCTCTCTCTCTCTCTACAAATTCACGACTGGGCTCGTGTCCTCCACACATCCCGACTGAAGGTAGTACCTACCATCATCTGATCGTATTTCATCCGGCCTTCAGGTGGATTAATCCTCCTTTTTTTGGTACTAATCCAAGAGAAGATCTGGTATCCATCATCTCTTCGTGTTGCCCAACTAAAAACCATGCATCTTGCAACACAATTGAACTCACATCTTCTGGATCTTCACGGAACGAGAACAGGGAATGAAAATGGGTGTGAGTAAAGGTGAAGTAACCCTACAGTGGTGGATATATATATACATATATATTATCTCACATGGCTTTAGTCAACGGTGGTCGTCTGAATCATCTATTAAACGGCAGACATAAATTGACGTTATTGGATATCATTAATTTTAATTAATGTGAGGATTTTAGTATTTTCCGCGAGGAAGAAAAATTTTCAGTTGAGTTACCTTTTTATTAATTTTATTTAACATCTGGATCTCAGGAAGTGGCTGGCATGAATGAGAATAATTTCAGTAATTAGTAACCCGGCTTAAAGCTCCCATTTATAGAGAATATCACCTAGCCGTTGACCTCCTTCCATACTGAGAGACCATGAAAACGGGAGCAAGTATGGGAATCGTTGTGAAATTTTACCCACAGGGGAGCTATTTTGCTTCAACGGGAGCATGGAAATGGGCAGGGCTATCGATCTGTAAAATAAGTGACTTTTCTCGTCCTCATAACTCTGATGGAGATGAACAGTAGTCGATAAGCTCAACAAGATGAGGATGAGACGGACGACGGCGAGGAAGAGAGAGATAGAGATAGATGGAGAGAGAGAGAGAGAGAGAGAGAGAGAGAGAGAGAGAGAGAGAGAGAGAGAGAGAGAGAGAGAGAGAGAGAGAGAGAGAGAGAGAGAGCTTATTCAGTCCCCTACCTTATCTAGTCACTCACCTATACCGCATTAAAGAAAGGTTCGAGAGAGGGTGGGGGGTATGGTATTAAATAAATGGAATAACCTCCATCCCCCCACATCTGGCATGGATTCCCCTTCGAACCATCAGTTCAAAAGAAAGACCTAGACGATGAGTTTAGGGTTCAAACATGAAGGATTAGATCATTACCTTTGATGGCCTCACATCAGGGCAGGTCTCGTCGATGTCCAATAAGTAGATTTACCCCTTTTAGAAAAAAAAAAATATTACTGTTGAATAATTCCAGTATTGGAGGAAGTGCCGGAATTATTTCAAGAATGAGTGCGATTGATGATACATGTGAAGGATTTGCTCATATTAATTGTCAACCTTATTGATTAATATTGATTATCACCCTCTTTTATCATATTCATGGCACATTAATATCTAAGTTCATGCCATGAATCCTTAGATTAATTAATCGCTATAGCTGTCGTCATACTATTCAATGATTTTTGATAAAATAGGCCGTATATTTCATGCATTAAATAGGTACATAATAGCCTAAAACGTTGACTAATGGCATTGTCAGAAGGGTGCAATGTACACGATCACGTTGACCAATCAATGCTCGCATTCTTGGTCTTTGTCAATTCCACGGCGGTAAAAAATTAATATTTTTTATGCTTTTAATGTGGCTCCATATTAAAAGAAAAATTACTAGATTTTATGTTCTTAGTGTTCTGGGAAAGGGCGTGCAGTTGGACCCATCAGGCTCCATTTCTCCTTGTGAAGTCAAACTTTCTCCAGATTATCATACCTTCATTAGAAGTTAATTCTCATCAACGCTGAATCAAAGATGAACTTTTCGGCGATTAAATGGCAATATTATTACCAATTTTTTTTCCTCTCATTTGCGCCGGTTCATCTTCATAGAAGCATTAATTTTAGTCGGATGAAAATAAATAAAAATGGCTGTACCAGACGTGGATTTTTCTTTAGAGAGAGAATGGCACTTGCGTGATCAGATGAGGGTATGTGGTGAAATTTTCCTCTCCATTGACTCCATTATTGTCAACCCCCACCCAAAGGAATAGCTGGAGGGTTGACCGGCAGATGTGGGTACGTGTCTAAATAAAATTTCTTGATGCTAAGTGGGGTAAGTTTTATTTTCCCATGGTACCCACCACGACCCAGTCTGAGATCCCGGGTGCAGACTTTGGGTCCCATCAACGAAGATCACAGCCGTCGGATTATTTATTTATTTTTGGGCTTCTCCACGTTGACGTCAGCCACAGTGGTTCGGCGGGCTTACCGAGAATGGCGGGCTCAATCAACCGAGAACTGCTCCAGGTGGCGGCGTTAACGTCGTCAGATTTCCATCCAAGGGACAGAATTTGTCGTTGGCCCTTTGATCGGGTCAAATTTCTTTTCTTACAGTGATGTCCGAAAATAGGAAAAATGAGGAAGACAGGGAGGGTCTTGTCCTAGAATGGCGGGGGGTAGTTGCTATATTAGAGGGGGTACGTGTCCGGGATTCAGACTTTTGGGAACTATAACACGAAGAAGCCGTCTTGCATGTGATTGATTGACGTCCACAGTGGAGAAGTGCATGAACGGGCCAAAGTAACGAGTTTGTTGGCCAGGGGCAGCCCCTCCCCGCTGCAAATTGGAGGCTCAGTAGAGAGAGAAAGAAGGGAGAGGGAGAGGGAGAGAGAGAGAGAGAGAGAGAGAGAGAGATTTTTTTGGGTGTGAGCGATTGACTGGCGAGAATTGGAGATGGAGAGAGTTTCTGTGTGGGACGGAGGAATTGTGGGATAGATGCATATTCTAGAGAGAGGAGACGCGATTGGCGCTGTCGTTGATGCTAATTGAGGGACTTGGGAGGCGAGAGAGAGAGAGAGAGAGAGAGAGAGAGCTGAGCCTGATCCTAGGAAACCAGGAGCAATTAATAGGATAGAGTGAGTGAGCCCTTCCGTCATGTGAGGAAAGAGAAGCTCTTGTGAAGTTTTGATAAATTGGGAAGATCTCCATATCCCCACAGTGAGATCTCGAAGTCCCATCTCAGTTTTCATGGGCGTCATCTGATGGAAAGAACGCAGTCTCTCGTATGCATGTACCTTACACGTTGAACTCTTGGCTCCTCCTCTCTCTCTCTCTCTCCCCTCTATAATTGTACCCCTCTCTTTCCCCTTCTGTCCTCTCTTCCGCTATCATCCTCTCCCTCTCTCTCTCTCTTTCCCCATATCACTCACTATATCCCTGTCCCTCTCGTCCATCACTCTACTATCCCTGTCCCCCCCGCCTTCTCTCTCTCTCCTCCCTATGACTACCGGTTGCTTGTGGCTCTCCCAAGGAATCTCTTTTCAAAAGCTATCAACGTGGCTGGAGGGATGATCATCAATGGCCCCAGCGCAGCTGAAATGAAAGAGCCGAGCCCTGGAGATGGACTGGACCATGACAGCAACTGAACCCTACAAGACGACGCAGATCCCCAACGAGGAAATCCAGTGCACTCTGACGGGGAGAGCAGTGTGGATTTTAGGGTTTGCAGACCGCCATTACCCCAGCCCAGATCTATGGTTCGCCGCAGAGAGAGATGAATATATATATATATATATATATATATATATATATAGAGAGAGAGAGAGAGAGAGAGAGAGAGTCATCCCCAAAGTGGGGATACCCACATGAATTCCTGCGATTCTTTCCCCTCGGCCGTTCTTAGGAAACCCCTAATCACCACCCTTCCCGGAGACTTTCCTCTTTGAGGAACACGGAGAGAGAGAGAGAGAGAGAGAGAGATGGCGCGGGAGCATTATCATTTCCCTTGAGACTTTCTAGACGAAAGCAGCTTCGTTTTAAAATCTTGCCCAGGAACGAGGGGAAGACAAAAAGATCACCCTTTCCGAGCTTTTTCCTCCTCTCCAGCAGACTCAGACCGAGCGAGCGAGAAAAAGAGAGAGAGAGAGAGAGGGGGAGAGAGAGAGAGAGAGAGAGAGAGACAGAGAGAGAGAGAGAGAGAGAGCTGGGGGGGTGTCGGGGTGGGAGCTCACTCGGCGCACGCGCAGTGATTGGGAAGCAAGACAAGCTTCTGCTGTCTCTTGCTGAGTACCCGAAGACCGTCTAGCCGACAGATTATCACAGTTCTCGGCCATGGCCACCCTCAAGTCAGTAACCCTAAAATCCTGACCCAGAGCGAGCCATTTTTTGACCCTTCAAGATCCAGATCAGGGCTCCGACCGATCGATCCAAATTCTCAAAACCCTAACGCAGTTTCTCCACAATTCGGTTCGGACCAGAAAACAGGCTCGTTGACCCCATGATATCAGGATTATTATTCCACCAGAAATCAAAAATTCCACAATATCCGATATATAGCCTTTTAAAAATAATAATTTAATATTTCCCGGCTCCTTAATTCTCGTTGTTCCAGCCTCTTGATTGCTCTCATATTATGGCTCAAGAAAGGGAAACGTGGGCCATACGTGATGCCATAATGGGCCTCCATGTTTGAAACCCAATCCATCCCAATCATGCCCAAGAAGCTTCAAAAACCAATAATAATTTAGGTTATTGTATACTCTAGGTGGTCATATTTATTATAAATTGGTTTTTAGTCCATTTTCTTAATATTTTTTTCCTTCCTGTGTGAAGAAGAAAAACAAAAACCTCAATTATCACATATTTTCGTTATTAAACCATATTTTTAAATTAAATTAATAATATACATTTATTTAGAACCTGATTACCACATCTTTTCAATGAGGCGCTGCGTTAATAAGTGTTTCTTTAATCATATTTTTAATAATATTTTTATTCTGAACATCAATATAAATTCAAACCTTTACATTTTTTAGTATAAGAAAATTCAAGGCTATGTGATTCCAACTAAGCTTTCATTTTTTTCATTATTATGAAACATCTTCGGTTCTTTATCTATTCTCTAATTAGTTAGCCATATATATTACTAAATCTTATCTAGCATTCAAATATATGGTGAGTAAAGTTCGATTGAAGAAAAAATAAGAATTATTAATTATAGGTATTTAAAAAATTATAATTATAGATTTTTTATCTTTTTAGTGGTGTTAATAGTTTTAATCGGAAGGATTTTTAAAGGGATCTGAAATTAATTAGTCTGAAAAGGCCTCATTATGTGAATTTATGTGTCAATGTTTCAATGTGAGTAAAGTTGGACTATAGAAAAATGAAAACTTTCTAGTTCCAGGCAGTAACAAAAATTATAATTATATATTTTTACTATTTTTAATGCTGTTGGTAATTTTAATCGGGAGGATTATTCAAAGGAATTTGAAAATAATTAGCGTGAAAATATCTCATTATGTAAAATTTATGGGTCAATATTTTCATTGTTAGTAAAGTTAAACCATAGAAAAATGAAGACTTGCTCATTCCAGGTATTAAAAAAATAAAATTATATATTTTAATTTATTTTTAGTGGTGTCAATAGTTTTAATCGGAAGGATTATTTATAGGGATCGGAAAATAATTCGGCCAAAAAGATATTATGATGTGAATTTTATATGTTAATATTTTCAATGTGAGTAAAGTTAGACCATAGAAAAATGAAGGCTAGCTAACTCCAGGGTTTTAAAAAATATAATTATATATTTATTATTATTTTTAGTGGCTTTAATAGTTTTGATCGGAAGGATTATTTAAAATGATTAGAAAATAATTAGCCTGAAAATATCTCATTATGTGAATTTTATATGTTAATATTTTTACTGTGAAGTATTATCCGTCCAAAGATAAGATTTGGGAGGACTTTTATGTAAAAAACACACCGGTAAAAACCTCACGCCCAATCCGCTGTCTGCAGGGTGGCGGTGACGGCAGGAGAAACTCTACGACCAAGGTGAAGAAATCTGGAACGGCCGAAAAACTATGATTCTGTTCCTTGAATCTTCTCCAGTGATGTTTTTATGATTCATTCGCAGGTATTTTGGATCCAATCTCGTGGATTTCTCGGAAGGCATGTCATCAATGTAGAAATTCATCGTTGATGTGTTGTTCTATGCTTGGTGTCTCGCATTTTACTGAGAAATTGATCCAATGGACGCCCTATACGGGATCAGAACTGCGTGCATCGTCTGAAGAAGCGGTGCTGAGGCACAGCCGTCGTCGCGCGATGAAGAGCTCCTTGCACGGCATTTCGTTCGCAGCACTGGGGCGGAGCGCGTGCTGTTCTGGTGTCAGATTGAGTTCTTCGGATCTCCTTTTCGCGAAGTTACATAGATGGTGCTATTCTACTCGTCGAAAGTCTGCCCCTCGGGTGCCCAAGATGGAGCATCAGGAGTCTGGGGAGAAGCAGGATGCGTTTTATGTAGTTCGGAAAGGAGATCTCGTCGGTGTGTATAAAAGCTTCAAGGAGTGTCAGGAACAACTCAGTTCGTTTGTAAGTTCTCTTTTGTCGTCATTTCCATATTCTGAGAAGATATATTACTGCGAGTTCCGACATCAAAGCTTCTTTCTGGGAGCATGTACGTAGTAATTTATGCTCATGCTGGTTTCAGATCGTGTGAGAAAAATTGTAGCATTTGTTTCAAGTAACTTCTGACATGATTATCCAACAGTCTTTCAAGTTTTTGCAACATCTCATGCGTACATTGTATGTTAATGATAAATATTTCATACAATTTTATGCAACTATTGTTTTAGAGTGTGGGATTTAAATACATATCTATATAACTTTTCGTTGAAATTTATCTGCACGAAAAGAAGAATTAGCTAGTCATGTTTTACTGGAAGCTTGAGAAATGGTCTCAGGACTTTCAGACATCAAACCATGCACTTTCCTTTCGGTTTTTATATGGATCTAGTTTACTTGCCTGTGGGAATCTACCTTCCAAAACAGACTCGATTGGTAAAAGGAATATGCTAATGGGAAGACGACAGTGCTTTTCTATAGTCTCTTTTTTGTTAATTTCCGTGAAAAATTGAAAAATAGAGGTACCTACATTGATTTTTTGATATATATTTCATTTTCCACAAGGTAGAGACTTCTTCTGAGGTATTTGATTATTCGCTCTTCGAATCAAACCGATTTTAGCTTCGGGTTCAGCTGGATAACCTGGCTGGTTCTCTTTAGAGGCACCCGGAGATTTTGCTGTTTCTAAAGATATTTCACGAGTGTATGTGAGAAACCATCTTTTGGTTGATTTTGCTTCTTCTAGTGAGTTCCGAGGAGTTCTAGCTTATTCAGGTTGATTCAAAGCTAGTTATGATCTGTCTAGAATTTGGCCTTGCCAGTCCTTGTTGCAATGGTTCCAATCATAAAACTGGGAAAACCGAATCAGTCTTGGTCACTTTTGAAGTAGTTCAGCCAGTTCCTGTTAGAATCGAGTTTTTAATTACTTGCTTCTAGTACTCCAATGACGTACTCATTCACGACATAAGCCAAAATTTTCCCTGCGGGATTTGTATCAACGTGCACTATATTCCACTGCAACCAGTAATTTAAGGTATTTTTTGGTAAATATCTCTCTTTTCAGACTGGAAATACAATAAAAGAATTTTATTCTTCTCCACTTATACTGTACACGGGGAATCATTGCATACAGTTGCTTTCAGACTGACCAAAAAATAACATGGTCAACTTGGTACTAATCTTGTAGATGATATTGTTTCACTTGCGGCAAATCATTGAACCATCAAGATTGTTTCTCGTGTCCACAGTTAAACATTACTTCATCTAGGTTACAAGAAATAAGCGTGTGGGTTTAAACAATGTTCACCATGCAAGCGTCCGAGAAAAATATGGGACAAACGGGGTTATTTGTGGAATCTGCACTTAAGTGAAGGTTGAGATCAATTTGAGCAACCTAAGGTTGGCAGGAAGACCTGTTACCTATAAGTAAGGGTTGGCTCTATCATGAAGGTTGCCTAATTGTTCTTGTGGTTTTCCGCAGTATTGTGGAATTATGTCTTTTTTCACATTGGGTTATCCAATTAGCTTTAGTGATAGAATTCATCGTTACCTTTGAAGGTGAAGTTGTCAACTAATGGGGAGTATTGAAGCATATCTTGCTTGTACTTGTGAGTATTTGGCAGCTGCTTCAACCCCTTAGGCTCGTGGTTCCATGTTCTGAAAGAAGAAAGATCAAGGCAAAGACATGTAACTATCATAGGCTTACTATGGAGCTTGCTGCATCCAATTGGAGCATCTGAGTATTTGAACAAGATGCCCTGACAAACAGGAATTTCTTAGACAACTTTGGATGGCAGAGGGCTTGCCACTGGTACAATAACTTCGTTTGATTTCATAATTCTCATATACATAAGGAAAAGTTTTCGAAGGTCCTAGATCTTTAGCTGAAACCATACGAAATGAGGATGTGATTTTTTTCTTCAGCCCAATTATTAAATGGTAATGCAATTTACCAAGTTATGTATTTGGGTAGCATTCCAGAAAACAAAGTACCTCTTTCTTCTCTTATATGCATATCTTTGGTTTCTCTTGCTGTTTTAGCTTGTTCCTCTCCTTACCTACTTTGCTTTCTTTTATAGCTTCACTTTCATATCCTGCTTCATATATCTGAAACCCAGGATGTGTCTTTGTCATTACTTTGTGGTTATTAATGAACTTATTTCCTTTTTGAATAAGAAATTGTGAAGGTTGAAATGATTCATTTAACTGCAACTCTCAAGGTCAAATTACGGGTTCTAGTAAATCTAAAAATTATGACGTCGCTAAATCTTTTGTAGTGATATGCTCTACTGATTTGCAGCTGTTTATAGTTTCTTTTTACCTTTTACTTTCTGCTCATTTGTTGCCATCGACTAGCTTTTTCTAATTTTCTATACCTGGGTATCTATTTTCTAATTTTCTTTTTTCAACTGTATTTGTCATAGTTACAAGGATGCTTGTTTCTTATGGATGTTGCTTACATTGATCTAATTGATTCATGAAAGTTTCATTAGGTCTGTGATCCAGCCGTGAGTGTTTATAAAGGTTATTCACTTCGTAAAGAAACGGAAAAGTATCTTGCTTCTCGTGGGCTAAAAAATGCGATGTATACCATTCATTCGGCAGATGTCAGAGAAGACGTGTTTGGTGCTCTAGTACCTTGTTCTATTCAGGTAGATACTCAAGCTCCATACCTTTTATATTTTCACGTCTATCCAATGCGGTTAGTTCAACTATGTGATTGCTGTCTTAGGTTTATATTTGATATAACGATGAGAAAAATGTGATTGCCCAGGTGAATTGAATGACTTCTCCCTACCTTTCCTTGTAGAGACTAATTTGGTGAGGGTGGCGTGAGCTGGTTGTTTTTACAGGCTTCCAGGAATGCATGTCCGACTCCAGAAAACCCATGTTTGACCAATGTAATCATTGGATTGGGCTGAATAAATTTTTAACTTTGGGTTTTATTCATGGAAAAGACGAGTTAGGCCTGGAATGGAGTTTGGTGAGCTGCCACGTCAAGAAGGTTTGTCATCCTCTTAGACTTTAGGGTCACGTCAGTGAAGTAGGAAGGGAAGTGTGAAGATGGTGATGAATTAGAGTGGAGTTGGGTGAGCTGTCACGTCAAGAAGATTTGTCATCCTCTCAGACTTCTTGGAGTTGAAGGACAGACCCCAGACAACCCGAGGACAGCAGGTCATTCAGCCAGCATTTAACTCTGGGCCTCACTTAGCGTTTATGCCCTGAAAAGATGACCCGAACTTCTGTGGTATCCAAGCTCATTGACACTGTTTGCCCAACGTTGATAAAGACATCTAAGCATCGGACAAGGCAGCCAGCAATTTGGCGGACTAAAGTGAATCTGATTAGCATGGCTAGTCAGCTGAACTATTTGGATCATGATTTGGATTAAGTGATCTTTAAACCCTTTTATTTATGTACAATGGTACTTGTGCCCGTGTCATCTTTCCTCTCAGAAATCTATTTTGCTACATGTTCTGTGTCATAGATTTGAAAAGTTTAGTTGCTTAAATTTTGATTCTAGATGTTGCATGTTAATGATTAGAAAGAAAATTATTTAGATTTTGGATGATTTTTTATTATATTTTATGATTCTCAGGATGCAACTGGACCTGAGCCTACCCCTGCAGATCTTGCTGTAAAACATACTGAGCTAGTTGAGAAGCATTCACTACATTCTAAAGATGTAAGCTGTTGTTAGTCCGATTTCGTCCCAAAGCCTTTTTTAGTATAACTGTGTTAACTGTGTTAGTCCGATTTCGCCCTCTGTTCACTTGTGCTCGTGGATACCTGGCGCTGTCACTACCTCCTGTGTACAGAAGGGTGCTTGACGCAGTATTTATTAATAAAAGTGCAACCAGCAAGCTTTACTTGGTCAACCTCTTCTTTCATCATTCACTAATAATTTTTTCGTCTAAAACCGCTATCTTTTTAATTAACTTTCTTAAAATCTAATTTAGATGATTTTATATCATGCTATTTCTAGAAAACATCCTGAGTTGTATGCACATACTTGACCATATTTGGCCTGCAGGGAAACCTACTAAGCTATTTTTTTATTATTCTACACATTATCCTCTCTATCCTTACGTTTTTTTCAGTTCTGCTTATCTCGAAAATTGCTGACTTTCCATTCAGTATGCCGTCATTTTGATATCCGTACCAGTATTTGACAACATTTGAATGAAATTTATTTGCTGAAATAGTAGACACATTTTCTGATGCAACTATCAGTGGATCTATCGCAACTTGGTTGCCCTCCTTCCTTTAATCTTTTGACATTATTTGCTGAATTCTCTTAAGTGGCTACCAGTTCTCTGTTAACTATTGAATTTCCTTATTTTAATTAATGATTATGAGAATTATTCGGTTTTTTCTCCAAATTATTATACTTATCATACACATTTCCTAGAATTTGATTTTTTTTCCTGCACTTATTGTGAGAGGACTTCACAATCTAATGAAACACAGGTAGGCTGTCGAATGTTTTGCCATTGTAAAAATCTTGAATTGTCATTTCATTCCTTACCATTTTAAAGATGAACATCTTTTTCTTTGGTCATTGGGGTTCACTGGATTTCTTCTTCTTCTTCTGATACATTTGAGTTCTACTACATTTGAGTTCCATTCTTACTGGAGATTACTATTTTTTCTGGCGTTCCTGTTGTTTTCTCTTATGGTCGCGTCCTCATCGTTTCGAGTAATACATTATTGATCATCTTTGCTCCATATAGATATCCTGCATTATTGAATTTGATGGCGCCTCGAAAGGAAACCCTGGTAGAGCTGGTGCTGGTGCAGTTATCCGTAGCGAAGATGGGACCATGGTACGTTACCTCCTGCCATAGTTCATACTCGCCTGTTTTCGCCCATGATTTTCCCCTGTACCATGCAAAGGATCACCAGCTAATGTTTCAAGAAATATGAGCAAAGATTTATAGGCTGCGTGAAGGCTTAGGTGTTGCGACAAATAATGTTGCTGAATATCGAGCTATGATCTTAGGAATGAGATGCGCCCTTAAGAAAGGCTTCAAGCAAATACGCATCCAGGGTGACTCCAAGCTAGTCTGCAATCAGGTGCGTTGGCTGTAAATGATTCTTATGTAGTGTTTTTATGTCGTACTATTAGTAGCAAAGACTTCACATTTTGCGTATCAGTCCTCATCATGAAAATGTTAATAATATCAGCGCAGATATGGTGATTGAGTTTGTGCATCCAACTTCTATGGGTTTTATTTTTATTTTTTATTATTATTTCCATTGTAGAACTAGTAAAGAGCCACCCTGCGGTCCAGATAATGATTGCTCTGAACATAAACCCTGTGAAATCCCAGATCCAGGGATCTTTGTGGCGGTGTTGAGAACTTTTATCTATGGAGTTTCTTCTTCATCAGGTGGCTAATCATTCCTCCTGTGCAATGCAGCATCTCATAGTTTTCCAGTTCTGGAAAAGCCACAGGTTTGCACAGACATCAGCTCCTCTTAGACCTAGATGCAGTCTGGCTGGGGCAGATGTATTACTGCCTTAGAAGGAACATCTACTTAGCTTTCTGGAAATTAGAGGCTTTAGATCATATGGGTTACGATCTCACTGACATAGCGTGGCGTCATCTGTCTCCCTTGCCTTTGGCCTCCATAACATGTCTCACTCCTGTGCTCGCATCTTGCTGCCGCGTGCACGTGCTGCACTGTTCGTTGTGTGCTCCGACCGTGCCGCCGTGCACGCGCGCCGTGGCACCGTGTGCATCTGCTGTGCCATCAAGCTCATGTGTCGTGCCAACTATAGTTCATGTCTAGGATCAAAGTATTATCATGGAAAACTTTGCCAATTATGGAGATTATGAACATTGGTGCTGCTTTTAGGATTTCTCTGTGATTCTATGTTATCATTGGAGCTGTACCGGGTGGAATCATGTTTATCTTGTTAAAACTCGGCTTATTGGTTGTCTTTCATGTCGTAGTTGAGTGGCGTGTGGCGAACACGGCACAAGAACCTCATCAACTTGAACAAGGAGGCTATGGAGCTCAAAGAAAAATTTCTTTCCTTCGATGTGCGCCATGTGAAAAGGGTAGGGCGTCCTCTCTCTCTCTCTCTCTCTCTCTCTTCCTCCTACATGATTGCAATATCTTTAGATTCATCAATAGCAGCATCAGAAATCCCGCGAAGAACCCTAACTTGCTTCCAGAGCGTTGCTGTGGCCTTTTGCTGCCATTTTTCTCCCATGAACTTGCGCTCATGCAACTCTTCTTTCGATTCTCATAGGAATTTAATTCTGATGCTGATGCGGAAGCTAACAGCGCCGTCGATCTCCCCAGTAAGTTGCATCGAATAAATGCTTCTCCCTCCCTCTCTTCTCTCTCTCTCTCTCTCTCTCTCTCTCTCTCTCTCTCTCTCTCTCAATTACTTACATCAAGATCAAGATGACAATTTTGGGGCCCTGGTTTATGAACCCAGATGGCGAGGTCCAAGAGCTATCGGTTGAACCCTGACCAGTTCCAGCTGAAGCTACCAACCAGAATCCCTCAAAAGAGAAGGGGAATTATTTTTTCCTCGTGCAGATCATCTCCTTGAATGAACGGCTCACACGGCAGAGAAATATATTCCCTTTTTTCCTGTTGCGGCGGATGGGCAGCCCAATTTTTGTTTTTTTTTTCTATTTATTGAATTGATCTTCTTTGAGCATGGGTTTCTCTCTCCTCCCTCTCTCTGATGGCTCTGGCTTCTGAACTGTGGCTTGAAACCAGAGCCGTTGTGGGATTCTGTGGATGGGGAGGAGTGAGGAGAAATTGGGTGGGGCTTTAAGCTCCTGCTCCTGCCATCGTAAGTAGCTGGGGATGCCATCAAAAGCAGCCTAGAGAGAGATTCAACAAGCTTCTGCCCACTGTTCTTGTTGCTTCATCATCCATAAGCTCTCTCTCTCTCTCTCTCTCTCTCTGGGGTGCCATCAAAAGCAGCCCAGAGAGAGATTCAGCAAGCTTCTGCCCACTGTTCTGGTTGCTTCTTCAATCATGATCTTTTACTCAAGCAGGATCTTTGAGTCTCTCTCTCTCTCTCTCTCTCTGGGATACCATCAAAAGCAGCCTAGAGAGAGATTCAACAAGCTTCTGCCCACTGTTCTGGTTGCTTCTTCAATCATGAGCTTTTACTAAAGCAAGATCTTTGACTCTCTCTCTCTCTCTCTCTCGCTAATTGTTTCCCAAAATATATATATTTTTTATATGTTCCTGAGATTTGATAGACCCCCGAACGCATACTTGAAACTTACCACTCAATGCGAAGAACATTTCGTGAGAAAACCTTCGATTTCTTAGCAAATAAATCCTGCATGGAACCTAAACTGCGCAAAAAGATTATTATGTTGCTTGGGGGTATCATTAGCTTCATAGATGACAAATGTCATGAAGCTGGTACCATGAGAGGTGGAGTTGACAATCTTCGATTAGTCAACGCAATCAACGTAATGAAAAATCTCTCAGCCCATCCCAATTACTGCCCCTATATGGTCACTTACGGGGTACCGGTGTCATTGTCAAACTCTGGGCCTCACAGGACGTGGATCAACCTCTAGCCCACTATCATAATGGGCCTCAATGACCCATTTCCTCTCTCGTCGTACTTCAGTGGGTGATTTTGGGTGGGAATGCTTAATCCACGTCATGGGGTGGGGAATCTGATATAAATGGGTCCAGTTGACCCCCCTTTTCATGCCCCAGAGCGTAGAGCCTCGCATGTGGTAGCCGCTTCATTGTCATACTAAGGCGACAAGGATAACTCATTTTCTAAAAATGGCAACTATTTTGATTATATTCATTTTTTAAATATCCCATTTATGAGTCAGCATCTCATATTTTAAAATCTGATGAAATTTTATGATTGAGTAAATGATAAAAAATGGTGAATCAACGAAAATAAAAGAAAGGTGTGCTACCTTTATATTACAAATGTCCAAGTGGAAGCATAATGTTTTCTAGGTTATAATATTATTAAAATTGCAAGGTATTTTAATATTTTTTTTTAAAGGCAAAATATTTTAATTATATTAATTTTTGAAATATCCCATCTTTTGAGTCATCGTCTCATTTTTTAAAATATGATGAATTTTTTTGATTGATTAAATGATAAAAAATGGTGAATCAACGAAAATGTGAGAAAGGTTTGTTGTCTTTAATGTTACAAAAGCCTATTTTTTTCTAAAAATATGATGAAAGCCTATTTTTTCTAGGTCATAATACTTTAAATTGCAAACTATTTTTAATTTTTCTAAAAATGCAAGTCTAATGTTTTCTACGTTATAGCCAAAGTGCATGCGTAATGTTTTCTAGGTTATGATATTCTTAAAATTGCAAGTTATTTAATATTTTTTTAAAAGGCAAACTATTATAATTATATTCATTTTTTATGTATCTCATTTTGTGAGTCATTATCTCATTTTTTCAATCTGAGATTTTTTTTTAAATGATAAAAAATGGTGGATCAAGGAAATTAGAAGAAGGGTCTGTTGCCTTTATATTGAACATGTCAAGTGGAAACCAAATGTTCTATAGGTTATAATACTTTTAAGATTGCAAAATATTTTTAATATTTCTGAAGATGCAAACTATTTTAGTTATATTCGTTTTTTAGTCATTGTCTCATTTTCTAAATCTGATTTTTTTGATTGTTGAAATGATAACAAAAAGATGGATCAACCAAAATATAAGAAGGGTGTTTGTTGCCTTTATGTTAAGAATAGCTAAGTGAAAATCTAATGTTTTCTAGGTTATAATATTCTTAAAATTTTAAACTATTTTAATTATATTCATTTATGAAATATCCTATTTTTGAGTCATCATTTCATTTTTTTAAAATTTGAGGATTTTTTTGATTGATTAAATGATAAAAAATGGTGGATCAAGGAAAATAGAAGAAAGGTTTATTGCCTCTATGTTGAACATGTCTAAGTGAAAACCTGATGTTTTCTAGGTTTATAATATTTTTCAAATTGTTGCATGATACTAAGTTAATCGTACATTGAAAGTGGATTCAAAAGCATTCAAGCCTCAAATTTTATAATATGATAAGAAATTTAAACAAGAATCCAAAGTCTTAGCATAATTTGTAATGAGCATACAAAAATTTACATGAGATTGATAAGAAACAAGTGAGGATTTGTCAAACTCAACTAGAAAAAGTTAGGGTTTAGGTTTAATGACTTAAAAGTTGTTTATAAATCTTTGTCAAGATCTCAGTACACTCAATGGAAAAACCTTTACAAGGAGAAAACAAGTTAATCTTGGCACACTAACAATCCTTTATAATTAATCTTTTTCTTATATATAAGTGGATTTATTATTTCATACTTTTTTACTATTCTATTTTAATAGTGCCATTTAATTAATTTCTTAATTTCGTTCTTACTATTTTAATAATGCCTAATTCTCTACGTTATTTTTTTTAGTCTAAATAATATCTGCTATTATAACGCATTATTAATCTACATATCCTTATTTATCAAACATTTTCCCCCTTTATATGCGTTAAAACATTAGTCAAATGCCCATTAAAAAAAATCCGTAGCCCCCAACATCCTCCTACCATGACGAACGGAGAAGTGCCAACCACTGAATCAAGAAATGACATCATGCCCCCTAAATAATGTGGAATGATATATATATCTATATATCTGTGTGTGTCATATGAGAATGCATATGAAATAAATTAAACCATAGTTGAACTTATGGTAAAAAAGATGATTTTATTCATATTGCACCGAAGCCTGACCATTCGTGGGGCTTGTTAAGGTCAAAATATGCAATTTTTTCAAGAAAAATATAGCATCAGAAGACGTTCTACACCTGGCAGAAGGTGCTCCCACAGCAATAGGCGTTGACCTCGCAGGATGCCATGCGCAAGGATCATTGACTACTCCCAAGGATCTCATTGTAGGTGTTCTTGATCTTCGCTATGAGCGCTTCCCTGGAGAAGATGACAGAAGATCAATCCTGAGAATCCGCATGATTTTCCAGTAATTAGAAGAAGAAGAAGATCCTGACTCTGTTCATCCTGAAATCTCCAGATCGATGGGTGGGCTTGGTCGCATGATTTGCGGGCATGAGAGATGAAGAGAGAGAAAATTTATGAGAGCGGGAGCATATTATTCTGGGTCTAAAGTAATTTGGTCAACGTGGAGACCTCGGATGGATTGGAAATTAGGAAGAAGATGAGAAATCAGGTGAATTGACAATGAGTGTGGTTCTGATTAGGAAGCTATCGATGAATGCAGAGAAAGAAAATCCAAGGAAATAAGAAAAATCATGATCCGAACAAGCTAAACGAGCATTTATAGCAAGAAGGTGAGAGCTAGGAAGGTAAATCGTGTTAGAAAATATTGAAAAATATTTTAGAATGCACAGTTCTTTGTCGAGTTGTCCACTCGTCTGACTACTTCAAAGAAAGTGTAAATTCTTGACAAGTTTTTTGAGTAAACTCATAATTGTCAAGAACTTACCCGAATTTACAGCACTTTTCAGATATGAAATTCTCGATTTTTTTTTTTCTATGTCAGGCATTATGATCAGGAACTTCTACGAACATTATTAATCATCAGTTACACATTCCCAGGAAATATTGCAAAGTAATATTAATCATTTTCATTTTCATCATCATCATCATCATGTGATGTAATAAATGTACGATTCATGCCAATTATGGTAATTATCAGCTGAACTGTCGGAATCTAGACCGTGAAGGAGGAATCCAAGAGTTACCTCTCAGGCTTTTTAAGCAGGTTCTTGTATGCAAACCACTGCAACGACAACAGATCAAATGAATTATTAGCATCTTATATTAAATTAGCCCAGATGCGTACACCAAATAATATAAAAATCATGGGAATAAACTTCCTCGGCAAAGTTCAAAATCAGTTCATGGCAAGCCCACTGCCACGAGAACTAACACAGAAAAATCATTAGCATCCGTATTAAATAAATCAGGTGCATTCCCCAGGTAATATAAGGATCAGGAGGATAAAGTTCCTGATCAGCATTCAAGCTCAATTCAGGGCATGCCCTTGTGAGGGTTTTTCCAGCATTATAACTAATATAAAAATCATGATAATCAAGTTCTTAAGCAACAGTCGAAGCTCATTCGAGTAGCGCCCTTATCAGTAAGTATTACCCCAGTGTAGCCGATGCCGACCACTTCAAGGACACCAGGAACCAGAGGAAGCCTATCAATTGCCTGCAAATGGAAGACAAAAAGTGGAAGGGGATCTGTTAGTTATCAGGGAAGAGAGGATTTTCTAGAGAAGGAGCTGTAAATATCAAACGCAGATTTACAGGTAATATGATCAAAATAGGCCTAATTAGGAGAGGAGGGGGGGTGGTTACCGAGATCATCCCACCGGTACCCCACAGAGCAACAACTCCGGCAACTGCCAGTGACGACACCGCATACTTGTCCTCAACCTTGTTCCACTGGCCATGAAGATAAGAATTGAGGTCAGCATCCACAAGTTCCGGGATGACGATCCCGAATTCGAACGCATGAAACCAGCGGCGAATGGAATCTTACTTACAGCTTCTTGTAAGGTTTTCACAATCTCAGGTACTTCAGCGACGGGGGCGGGGGCGGCACCGCCCTCCGCCGGCGCGTCCACGGCCGTCGTCGCCGCCGCGGTGGCCACGGACTCTCCGGTGGCCATCGACACCACATTCCGAGCGACCCTGCGGCCTGCAAAGTAGCGCCATCCACCATCTTTCAAAAAGGAAAACGCGCCCGCGCGCGCTCACAGTAGGGCGAGAGAGAGAGAGAGAGAGAGAGGCAGATCCGGCGGCTCACAGTAGGCGCCGGTCCTCTGCGCGCGGCTCTGTGCTGGGGGCGGGGGGGAGAGCGGCGGCAGACCGACGCAGTGCGGCGTCGCCGCCTGCTGCCTGCTGCTGCTGCCGCCGCCGCGGCACTCCATGAGTGCGGTGGAGGTGGAGGATACGGCGCAAGCGGCGGTGGCGTATCCCATGGCTCTCCTCTGCTTCTCCTCTCTTCTTCTTGGTTCTTCTTCCTTCCTTCTTCTTCCTCGCCTTTAACGGGGTGGCCAACGAGGCCCACATATCGGAGGATGACGGACCCGCGGCAGCCCACCACCCGTCTTCTAAATTTTGATAACCCGTGGGTCCCCCACCTTCGAATACTGACAAAACTCTTTACCAGTGAAAGGCCCATTGGGCCCATGCCCAGAACAACAATACTGGATAGCCGCCGAATGGCTGCCTTATACGTGTCCTCTCTCTCTCTCTCTCTCTCTCTCTCTCTCCCCTGTATGAGAGATTAGGTTCCAAAAATTTTGGGTTATGATACCCGCCCTGATTAAACTTGGAAAAACCTAAAAAAGGAAAGAAACTTTTAGCCATAAAAACTGAGAAAATAACTCTCTTGATCCACCCGGATGCCGCCAAATGGGTGCCTAACACGTGTCCCCCCGTCTCCCCCTTGATGGAATATCCCATTTTTCATATATCACACAGGAACGTTGACTAGTTTTGCGGAATTTTCCACAAATCTTGGAAAAAGCATATAAAAAAAGGATAGAAACTTATAGCCATAAAAACTGAGAAAATGGCTCCCTTTTGGTTTCCACCGGGATGCCGCTGAATGGGCGCCTTACACGTGTCCCACGCCCCCTCCGCTCCTCTTTAGGAAATATCCCCTTTCTTTATGCATCAGAGAGGCTCATAATTAAAATGCAAATTTGGAAAGGAAAGAGCTTAAAAAAGGGAATGAATCCTTTTGAGCCATAAAAAAAAACTGAGAAAATAGCTATTTTTGTTTTCCACGTCATCTAGACAGATTTGGAGAAGGTCAACCATCTCTTCTTACCCAAGGACGGAAAGATCTCAGCACAACTTGCTTCGCAGCATCTTTCCCAGAACCTTGGAAAATATTTCAGAGCATGATTTGTGCATAAAATATGCACAAATAACTTCACAGGACTTTGGAAAATAGCACTAAAAATCATGCATGAAAACTGAGAAAATAGCCGCCCCCATCCCCTTTGCACTCACTCGTGGTTCTAGAAGACACGTGTCTTGTCGCCTGTCGGTGACGTGGCAGTATCCCTTTCCTCGCTGGCTTCCCCTAACTCGATGACTCTTCCATCTATGAGCTTCCTGTGAATGAAACCGAGCAGGGTTAGGGAGTAAAAGGAGATGATCACGACTACGAGCCTTGTATCATATCTCGCATGAGGTTGATTTCAACGCCTTCATAATGCTATGATCTTTCATATCTTATAGCTTTTTAGGGAAATATTTTACCATCTTACTCTATCTAAACAAGGCGAGATGCCAAGATTATGCCTGATTTTCTATGTATCCGAAGGTAAAATAATCATTTAATCTAATGAAAATCTAGGTGAGATGAATAATTATCATTTTTTAATAGTAAGATAATCAAAATCCGTATCTTCATCCAAGGATGCCCCCATGTAACATCAAGGACTCGATTGGGTTTGACTTCTTGTGAAAGACAGGATCGTTGAATCATGATCGTTGACTTTTGTATGGCAACAAAATGGAATCGACTTTCGGTATGGCAGCAAGCCATAAGTAGGATGAGAGACCAACCTCTGGGGATGAAGCTTCTCTTCCGACAAAGCTTTCTCTAGCCTCTCCTCAAATGGGGTGGCATGCCACCTGACCCTTTGATCCTGTTGAGGTGTGGAAGATCATATATTTATATAGATATAAATAAATTAACCAGTCAACTATACTAATTTAGGCATGCTTTTGTACCTCGTTGTATTTTTTTGTCGAATTTGGAATCCCCTTTCCATCCCACAGTTTTGGGGATGTATGAGTAGTTTCCTCACTGCTCCAGTGCGCAGCAACTATCCCAACGATAGACCTGTCTACTCCAGTAGTTTCCTCACCATTTACTTGTGCTTCAGAGTGTTTCGCAGAAGTCAACCAGTCAGAAAAACTTGAAGACGCGGGTGCCGGGCTTCCTGAATTCTTTTCTGCATGTTTTATGTAACCAGATCTCCTATAGTCCAGATGATCCAACGTTGACTTACTGCCAATAGTCAATGTTTCTTCCCCAGCTGGAGCTGCCCCACTGCTCTCTGGACTGTACATCAAAGGAACAGGGTTAGGCAGTGGCGAACCAAGGGAGCTCCGCAGCTTTGGGTCACCATCAGTTGACTCTGGGTTTTGAACCGGATGCTCAGCAAGTTCACCGTACTGACCAGGAAGATGAGGGGCCTCGTTGACTCTCCTCAACTCTGTCTGAATCAACATAGAGTTTGAAACTGGGTAGATATACTGTGATCTATGATTCTCTAATTTTGCTGGATAAACAGTGCCAGGGGTTTCCATTTCGTCCGTCAGTTTCAAAGGAGTCGGGCCAGGCGAATACTTAGATGCAAAGGGATGGATATGGTTGCTATTCTGAGGAGTATCCACTGAGACGGAATCTGGGCCAGGTTCAAAGCGTACGGACTTGGTCATTGCTGGTGCAGGAATGCTCACAGAGACAGGTGCACTTGAATGTAGATTGTTGTTGTATGTCATAGTAGCATGTGGAAGCTGAGGCGGGTCGCTGCATAATGGATGCATAAAGGGCGTATGACTTAGCACCGTCCTTGGTTCAAATCAAAACGATTAAAGAAGAAAAAGAGAGATGATTACATGTCATGTTTAGTCTCTGACACGTGCCCTTGAGAGTCTGATGCAGGAAGAGCAGGAATCTGAACTGGTTGTTCGTCCCACTGAAGCTCCTTACAAGATGAATCAGGAAGGGAGAAGCGAGAATTGGATAGTGTACCATTCTGGGAATGAGGTTGAACGTTTGTCTTCTTAGATGCACAAATAAACTCCGCGGGTGTTCCCAGAAGTGCTCCACACGCCTTGAGGAATTTGGCCTGAAATACAGCGCGAGATGGCCATGGTACTTCATTTTTCAAGAGTTCTTCCATGGGTTTTTAAGCTGTTTACTTTATAAAAAAATAAATAAAATGAAGGAACCAGATGAAACTAGTCAAAACTGGGCAGTTCCTGGATAGATAAGCTCATCGAAGCTTGTCCAACTTCTTCAGCCAGGGGTGCACACGGTGTCACATTCTTCAAATTACGACACAAGTGAGAAGGGAGAGCGCCCAGTCCAAACCAGAATTTCAAAATTGAACTGGAATCGATGTGAAACAATGTGATAGAAACAACCACCTTTCCGAACATTGTCAATTTTTTTGAAAAAAAAAGTTACCCTTTAATATATGCCATGGACCTCAAACCCATCCATAAAAAAGATTTCGGTTGCTGTAAATTAATAAACTCTTATCTTTAAGCTATATCAATCCCTACTCTCACCAGCTGTTTGTAAAAAATCTATGGTCATCGGAAAAGGGGAAAAAATTGGGGAAAATACATTCTTGGATGATTTGAAATGAAATCAAGGGGAACAATAAAGAGAATGAAATAAAAATCACATAAAACTCGTTTCCTTCTAGCTATTTGTTTACAAAGAACGAGAAAATGGGAATCATATAAAAAAACCGTATTTAATGAAATATTCGGGGATCTGGATGAATATTTGCATATAAATACATGAAATATGTTTTCTCATGCGAAGAAAAAAGAGAGTTCATGTAGTCAGAGAATCCGAGTGTAAGGATCAACTCTACAGTTCATAGAATATAGCTATAGAAAAATAAGATAGGAGGGAAAACAGAAGAAATTGAGCTCTAGGAAACATTGTAATTCGAACTCAACAAAGAGATGGCACCATGGTACCACAGAGCAGATGACAAGAGAGAATAAAGTTGTAAAGCATAAGTGACAAATTTTGTTATTATAAAGCATAAAAATACGCATATTATAAAATTAAATTGAGGCTAACTGTTGCAGAACTGAAGTTGACAATCAATTTCCCGATAATCACTAGGAATAATGAACGAAATTGAAAGAAAACATCGTCAAAGGTTGGGAGAGGCGACGAAGTCACGCACCTCGTGCCTCAGCTGCTTGCGGACATCGTCTGGAGAAGATATGCCTTCATACAGATAGCTTTTCTCGTATGAGTAAATCGAGAAATCCAATGAAAAATGTAAAAGTAAATTGAGATTTTTCTGAAAACTAAAAAAGAATTCATCTGCATCTGACCTTCAGGAGCAAACAAAGAGACGATATGACTTCTGGAGACCAAACGATCCTGAGAAAACCAAACGTGTCAACTGAACCGAATAAGGAAGGAAGAGGAACCAAAGAATGAGAACTCCAAAGAATCCGTGACTCCCCGCTCGATTCACCAATCTTAAAAATGAACTCAGGCAGAATACAAGCCAGGATGCGTAGAAACGAGGGGGACAAGGACCAGCGATGAAGCCTCGCCATCCACTCACCCCGTTCTTGGAAGGCGTCGACTCCGCCGAGGAGACCGGCGAAGACCTCTTTTTAGCTCTGAAACGCAAGCAAGCCAACCAGCACCCCATTTTTCCGCCTCAGAAAAACCTTACCTCCTGCTCAATCAAACCAACGACAGCACCTTTCTTCACATCACGAGCTCTGGAGAGCCACAAAAGGAAAGGAAAGAAGCGAACGAGATCAGACTCAGATCCCACCGATCTCGATTGAGGCAAGAATTAGGTCTCCAGCGAGATCTTCTGGGGGCGGCGGGGAGGGGAAGGAGGAGGAAGATGGTGGAGAGAAGGCAGGAAGGAACTGTGAACCCGTTTCCGTTGCACTGGGTTTTTCTAATAAATAATAAAATATTTTGAATTTAAATGGATCTGGGCGGCGAAAGCCTACGTGGACGATCGGACGGTTGAATATGGCTACTACTCAACGGATCATCAAGTGATTTCTCCCACTAAATCACGTATTTACTGCTACCATTAATAAAAAATATTACTTTATTTTAATGATGGGGCCCGGCTCGAACCCAAAGAAAAGCGAGGGAAAACGAATTATGGACCAAATAGGCCCAATAAAAGCCCATTTATCCAATATGAGACCCGGCCCAAAGAAGGAGCTTTTAGCGGATGAGGCTATTGGGCCTCCTATATATATATAGAAGAGAGGGAGAGAGAGAGGGGGGGAGGGGAGAGAGAGAGAGAGAGAGAGAGGAGGAAGGAGAGGAAAAGCGATACAGTGGACCCATGAATATGCAACAATCTTTTATAGTTGCTACTAAAATTAATATCAAACATTGACACAAAATTCAACGTATATTTTTAAAAATGTAAAAAATCCATAATTCTGTCGGAAATTAAAAATAGACTTTATTTCTATTTACATACGATAATATCTTTTAAAGTATAAACACTGAAAATGGCAAAAATAAAAAAATAGATAAAATAGGGAGAGGAAGGACGCAAATACAAATATAAAATTATAAAGTATTTATTCGTATTACTATTTTCGACGTGATATTTAACTTTTAAATAATACGAGGATGACGAATAATATTTTTATTTAAAATAAGAGGCCGCCGACACCCTCTACTAGAATGATGTGGCAGTTGTACTGGGAGGAGGAGGTCGAGGTATAGACACGTCATGATTCGTAATAATGACGTCACAATTAGCAAAATTACCTCTTAAAAAGTATCTTGACAATTTTGTTTAAATAACGAACGTTTAGAAAGAAAATAAAAGTAAGGGGTTTTTCCGCGGAGGAGGTGGCGTTGATTTGGGACTGCAGGTGGCCAGAGTTGTTACCGTTCCCCATTTCAGAGGGCTACTTTGGCAGTTTCATTCGCCGGCGAGCCCTCAAGGTGATCTGAAGAGGGAGGGAGCGACTGAGTGGCAAGGTTCGTCGTTCTTCTCTGTTCTCCAGATGGATTTCGTGTCCTTTGATTCATACGAGGAGGTTTGGATTTCTGCGACAAGTTTGGTCGTGTCTCTTTGCTGGAGGTTTTTGGTTCTTTCCTCTCGGTCACTGCGATCGATGGAGACTTACTGGTGGGAATCCTCTCGGCTATCCTCTTCTTTTGCGTTCTTTTGGTTCGAATTCCGAATGGAAAGCTTAATCGCGGTCGGGGTTTGTTTAGAAGGAAATCATGTGGCGTGTTAAGGATTCCGATTATTTTTTTCTGGTTTCTTCTCTGCGTCTGTTGGCATTTTGCATACAGAAAATGTAATGAAACAGATGCGCGTGTGTGTGTACACTACTCATGGACCGCTAAGTGACGTTGCGTGATGAATCTTGTTCATCTAATTGCTGTCTGATCCTGTAATGCAGATATGGCTTTTGTACTCTCCAAAAGCAATCTATTTTCTAGCTTGCGCGGAAATCCACAGGTAATACTCTTGTTGGTGTCCCGCATATTTGATTGAATCCATCCTCATTACACTCATCTGTTTCTCTTGTACGGATTTAGGTGCTCCAGGAACAACAGATTCCTCTATCACGTCGTGGGTTCCACGTTGAGCTTGGTGCCCGAGAAAAAGCAGTGAGTTCCTTCTTCCCTCGTTCCGATTTGACCATAGCCTTTGACTTTGCTTCCTCCGTGTTCCAGATCTTTTGATTGAAGTGGGTACAAACAAGTTCAGAACCTTAGATTTATGAAATAGTTTGACTTTGGCCAGTACGTGCTGCGTTGTTTATTCAAAATTTCCTGAAAACATATTGCGTAGTGTGATTAATCGTATAAAAGTAACAGTTTTCGAGCTCTCAGTATGGGCGGCCATCGCCTTATTTCTCCACAGCCATGGCCATTTGCAGGTTGCCGTATTGTTCTTATCCATTAGATCAGAGGGACTGATTTGAATACCTTGTTGAAAGAGGCTTCGTTTGCGGTTTTTAACTTTTGTTGTAAGAATCCAATGCATTCATTTAATTGATGTTTCCTTGGGAATATTTGAACCTTGAATTTGTGCGACAGTATGCCAAATATCATTGTTACATGGGGAAGTTATACCGTAATGCAAACATGGGTCTTCCATTGCAACGTAATGAGTCAAGCTTTTATTGCATTTCAGCTGTTGGAAGAAGATCCTGCACTGAAGAAGTTCAAATCACATAAGAAATCTCTGGCGCGGGTCAAAAAATTTGGAGATGCTCTCATCATTGTTGTCGTTGCAGGTAAACTAAACATTATTTTCTCTGTAGTTTTGTTTTTTTAAAATGCTCCTTGTAGATATGGTCCCTGAAGATGCCATATATTGAATGGTTTCATTTATGTTGTGATGAGTGCATTGCACCGGTCGATTTTATTGATCCCAAGGGGTTACACTGGTCACGTATTTTACACCTTTCAAGCATCCGCATTTCTCTTGAGGGCAATTGCTTTTCAAGATCAGAAGGATTTGCGGATATTGTTACCATCCTTTGTGCTCGGATTGCCTTACTACATTTTGCTGCGTCTTGTAAGTCAATGTATCCATTACACAATAAGGTTTCTACTTGAGGTTATTTATTTAATTCACATGTGGTCATCATTCTGGATCACATTTAAAATCACATCGTCAATCATGGTGAAATATGTTGAAGGGAATCCAATCACATGATAGTAATGCTGACCAGCCCATAGAAGAGGGTAGATATGTGAGTCAGAATCTTGTGAGTCAGTGTTAAATGTTAATCTTGCGGACATCATTAATTACGAAAAAATCTTTATTTGGGTTTTAGGTGGGCTTTAATTTTTTGGTTTGGATCAGGAGAAAAGGACAGTCTGAAAAGATCCCACATCTAAATGAATAACTGTGGCAAAAACCTGGGGAAAACCTGACAACGTGGAGGATATCGGATTAGGGAATCCTTCTCAGTCCTGCTATGCTGTATCTGCTTTGGACTTATATCTTTATAGAGTCTTGCAGCAGCCTAGTCAGACATTTGACTAGGCTCATCTGATTTGGCGGGTTAACTACGAACAAGAACAGACCTGATATTGGGCATTATGGTATCTCTATCCTTTTAGTCAGTTACTGTTAAATGTGGGTACTATATAAGTATCTGATTTCCCCTCATTTTTTGGTAGTATCCCCAATATGAAGCTCCCCAGAATTAGAAACGCACAGAAGTCCGACTCATCTGATTTCTTTCTCCATGTCCCCTGGTCTTTGCTTAGGTGATACATGAAATCTGAGGGCAAATATAGCAATCAGCATCATTAACATCTAGAAATCATATCTTGGTGCGGTACATTAAATGAGAAATACTTTGCAGAAATTGCATCAAACTGCAAGTGGAATTTTTTTCGCACAATTCATTATGGAAAAATGAGAGTCACCAGGGACCATGGTAAGCAATTATGTTCCTGTCTAGATTCCAAGCAAGTGACAGAGTTGAAACACCCTACATGGTGAATGAATTAGGGTTCTTGGGCTGCCAAACCTCATGGATAGCATTCACATGACGAAGTTCTGAGAGTCGGCTTAAGCGTACTATTATATGGATCATTACAAAGATAAAGTGTTCTAATGATCATGACGGGTTTACTCCCTAATTGCCCATTATTTTTCAGTTGAATGGGTCAGAATCTTTAACAGCATTTCAATATTTTGAATTCACAGATGCTGAACCAAGTTCTTCTCACTCTAGTAGTCAAAAAGCTCCCGGAAACCACTGCGTAATAGCTCTCAAGATCCGGCTAGAACCTTTTTTTGCCACGAAAAAATGACAGTCTTTGGGCTCATCATTGGGGTGAAGACTTTTGCAATGTCAACCCTCTTGAAAGCTTCATGGTCAAATATCTGGATAAGAAAAATAAATTTGTACTCTTTTTTAGAAAGATGTCAATTGATATCTCTACCACCGTAGACTGAGCGTTCAGAGATAAACTGTCGTCTCCTCCCTGGAAAAAATGATAGTTTCCAGGGAGGAGAAGGCTGATGAAAGGGAAGCTGCTGGGCTCCTCTGACTGGCTTTTATTGTGTCAACGGGTTAAATTTGCTTCCAGGAATGGCAAGTGAGAGAGTCAACGCTGTGCAAGAGATTGCCATCTCCTACCGACAAATCTGATCTTCTGCCATATCCCACGTCAGATGTGCCCCAGAAAAGAAAAAGAATGAAAGAAAAAACCCTTTTTGGAGATTTATTTCTTACTGAAAAATATGGTAAAAAAACAAAGAGGAGATTATGGTCTCAAATAATCTGCTTAAGGTTTTTTCTATTAATGTTGTTAAGATTTCTGAAGCTGTTCTTCTGCCCCCGCTTCAGCCTGCAGCTACGAGATCTATGCGAGTGCGGTGGAGAAGAGGGCCAAATTCGCCGGAGACGATCGGGCCAAGAACATCTGACGGTGGAATCTCCTGGCTGATGGATCGATTCTCTCCGGAGTTTTTGGAATAAGCAGATGGATTGTTTGACTTGGAAGACCTTCTGAATCTGATCTCCCAAGGTCAACGAGATCTCCCCAGTGTAGAATATATTTTCTGGGTCTTTTATCTCTCGATTGATTATCGGCGAAGAATGATGCCAGTTTATGAGGGAAGTGTTATCTTCGGACTGGCCCCTGTGAAGCTCACCCGGGCCCGAAGAAAAGCCCGGAAATGGCTACCCACCTGCGGTGGTCCTCCCCTTCCCTCCCCCCAGAGGCTGGTGGCGCCGCCTCGAGCCGGTTTGTAATATCCTGGGTGGATGCTCTGACCGATGGACAGGAGCGAGAGGGAGAGGGAGAGAGAGAGATTAAGCGATGGTCAACTCCAAATTTATACATCCTTGAATGGGGTGTCCGTGGAGGATAATTTGGTCGCTTCTATCCGCGTGGGTGCTATTATCGTCAGCTGTGTCGCCGTCTGAAATCCTCTCTACGTCTCTTCTTCTTCCGAATCCGTCGTGAGATTGACAATCGAGGAAAGTAGATAAAGTTAGCCGGCAACTATCTTCGTCGTCACGAGCCCTTCCACGTAGCGAGTCCATTTCCCTGACCTGCACGTATGGATACGTATATTGAGAGAGAGAGAGAGAGAGAGAGAGAGAGAGAGAGAGAGAAGCGTGATTACCTTATGTTGGCTGATTCCTGTGCTCTTCCCGCAAGAACCCAGAATGGGAAAATCAGCCATCTTTGGTACCCATTCATTCGAAAACTTCTCCACAAGAAACCTGGAGAAGAAACGTTCAAGCCATTCTCATGCCGAGCCCCTTCTACTGTTCATGGTATTAGGTTACCCTTTACGACTACACCAACTTACCTTCGGGATTTTACCCCGCGGCCTGAGTTTCTTTCTGATTCGATCTTTCTCTCGCTACCCATGTTTCTATCAGACGGACGGCAGCGAAATTGGACGTGGTTCTTCGTGTTTCTGTACGTCTGAAAAAGAAATGAGAAATGTTGATCTCAGTATACGTTTATATGGCTTCCTAGTAACTTGTAACCAACTCCACCCGTTGACTTTTAACGACTCATGAGTTCCTTCAAAGTTTCATCTGAATTCAAATCCAGAAGACCTTTTAATCGTGAACTTCCTTAAATAGCTATGGAACCACGAGAATAAGAGCAAGAAGCTCGAGGAGGAGGGGGGGAGTACTAATAACGTATGAAATGGCTCCTCTGGGCAAGAAAGAAAGGGTACTTTGTGGGATTTTCTAGTCATATCGATCAACATTTTTATCACGGCTTATGGAAAATAATCAACACCATCTTAAGAAAATCCGTTGACTTATCTAAAAATCTCTGCGAACGTTCATGATCGTCTTTTCCTCAATTGGGGAAGAGAAGTCAACGACTTCCATTCATCTGTACTTGATAATCTCTTGGACTAGGGATGAAAGGGAAACTCAGAGAAGGATTCTGATAATGGGTGGCTTCAAGCGAGCTTCTACATCAAAAGCCCATCAAGATGAAACCCTAAAAAACACCATATTTCATTGAGATACAATCAAAGGAAAGAAATGGAGTTTCTATGAAGAGTAGTCTTGTTTTAGAGACTATAAGAAATGAAAATATGATCGATCATATGACTTTACCATGATCATTGTTAATTTATTTTGATTTGGACTAATAATGTAAATAGTGATTTCATTTCAGAGGGTTTTTCTTTTTTTAATGAGAAAGTTTTTATGTCCTCGTCTGAGTGTTAGATAGATCGTACACGTACCTGAAGATGGCTTTTGACATGAGATATGCTCATGCTCTTCTCTCTCATCAGCAGGAGAATCTGCTTTGGTGTGGCCCCTACACGATTGATTAGGCTTGTACTGAGTTAAAAAGAATAACAATAAATACATGAGAGAGGCATGATTGTGTGTTATCACAAAGAGAGAGAGAGAGAGAGAGAGAGAGAGAGAGAGAGAGAGAGAGAGAGAGAGAGAGAGAGAGAGAGAGAGAGAGAGAGAGAGAGAGAGAGAGAACGGATTACTGAGATCAATACGTCGATAAATAGAGTAATAAATTTCACCTTCAATCTTCTACGGCTTTTACATAGCTTTTGCGAACCCGGCTAAATAGATAAATAAAGAGATAAAGAGATAGATAGACAGATAGATGGATGGATAGATAGGATGAGAGGTGGAAGGGGGCGGAGGGGAGGGAAGAGACTCTCCTCCCACCCACGGAAGCTTACTTTCGTGGCCTCCCAGAGAGCGAATAGCTTCAAGGAATCGGTCGTGGAGCTCCTCCGTCCACCGAAAGCGGGGCTTCTCCGATCGGTTGTACTGCCTCATTCCCCTCCTCTTCCAGCCTTCCTTCATCGTCTTCCCCAATAGTGCAAACTTAGTTGCCGAGGAAGCCACCCTTCTTCCGTCTCATCCTCCCCGGCATATGTCTACATAGGAGAGGTGTGGTGGGTCCTTCAGTAGGAAGTTGCCAAAGTTCAGGCCTTCAATACGACGAAGAAAGTCCCTGCTAGGTGAGAAGTCGTATCTTCGTCCACATAGGACATCACGTTACGTTCTCTCCTTCACGTGGTTGTAATTCCCGTTCAAGTCTACGTTCTTATGGAGACAAGGTCAGCGGCAAGATCGTTCCTTTTGAACGCCCGGCTGTCTCGTTTTGGCCGAGTAGCATCATGTCTGATCATTCCTTCATTTCTTGTACCACCCCTCTCTCTCCCTCTCTCTCTCTAACGTGGATGATAAACGACACGGACAAAAGCAGGCACTGGGGACCGTCCGCTGGTCGGTGGCCACATGGCTCACTTTCGTAGAGTTTGAAGTCAAGAATTCGACCTAATTACCACATGGCTATTTGAAAGATTCCTCGATTGAAGTAAATAATAGAGAGAGAGAAAGAGCGAGAGAGATGGGAGAGAGAGAGAGAGAGAGAGAGAGAGAGTAGGGAATTGCGTCTTTGATTCATCGAGCTCATGGTTATTCTTCGGTGTGCGTATATTTCGACCAGATTTCAAGATTAGAGATCGTTTCGTTACATTTGGCGCCTCTTCTTCCATGGGCGACCCTTCTCAGACCCCCACCCATCCCCTCCTTTCCTCGTCTTGCATCTGTGCTTCAGAGATCGAACAGAAGAATTGGCTATTTGACGAAGAAGAGAAGCACTTCTTTCATCTGTTGTGGTATTCTCATCGAGCAATTTCAATAGTACGCATTCATCACATATTTCTATTCACATAATATTTTTCTCTTATTTCTTACGTCATTTTGGGGCTTCCAATCCTGCATACCCTCCTGTCTAAATATAGCAGCTATCTCAATCAATCATCAACTCCAGTAGATTT